CTATGCCATAATGACCTCCTAGAGTTTTATCACCGAAATAGTCCAAAATCGTACCACTGAAAGTTAGAGGAATGCTTGGTTTTAGGTCAGGAAACCATTGCCTTAAAAGTTTCTCTCTAAAGAATACATATATATATATATATAGAAAGTTGGGTTTTCATTTTATTTCATCTGTTATTTTATCTACATGGACGGCAAAATGTGCAAGCACACTGTACGTCATGTAAGCAACATCAAATATCACTCATTGATCGAGCATTGTTTGTTGAGAACTCAGTTGCATGGAATAAATAAAAAGCAACGGCTAACCCTAACCGGAGAACTGTCCAAAACTCGATGCAATTCTTCTAGCGGAGGAAAAGAGGCAAAAGGAATGTTAATAAATTGTGTAAGGATGGTAAGAGAACAGCCAAAGAAGCAACAAACACTAACCATCGTCTGACCCAGCCTTGTTCAGCTCTTTAAAACTGCACATGTGCAAGCAGAGTATACGTCATGTAAGTACAACTAAATATTTGTAATCAATGGCGAGCATCGGTTGACAGCGCCTTGTCAAATCTTATTTTTGTACTATTTCTGTTTTAATTCATTTCTCATTTTTTTTTTTTTAAATGTTCTTTCTATCAAAATAAAAAGCGTCAATGGACCCGGTCCATGAAAGTGGTCCATGGACCGGGTCCAAAGTGGGGGTCCATGTTTTGTCCTCCCCCCCATGAAATCAATGTGCTGAATAGGATAGGGTTGTTAAGGCATGCAGCTAACAAATTTCATAAGCTAATTGATATCCCTCATGTGCAAACTGCAAAAAATTATTCACTGAAAAACACAAATTAAGTAATATTACTTTTTTTATTACCCATTTTACTAGACAGCAGTGATGAGGATAATGCACTGCCATCGCTATATCACTCAACACCTGAAAGGTCCAATCAGTGTTTGCTAGGTAAAGTGAAACCCTGCTATATTGAACCCCGCTATAATGAAGACATTGTCATAATAAAAAACCAAACACCCGGTAGAATTGCAGTAAATTAAAGTATGTGCAAATGAACCTCGCTATAATGAGCCCAGCTATATTAAACAAATAGATTTTGACAGAATTCTTGAGATTAATTAGGGTTTTAGTTATTGAAGTTCAATATTAGCCTATGGAATGTTCCTTATTTCAATACAGTTAAATCAATTATTTAAATTACTTGATCCTGTCTGAGGGTGTTTTTAAACTCGATTTAACTTCATTGTCTGACGGTTACCAAGTACAGATCACTAAAACTTTAACTTAAAGTAGTTGAAAACAGCTTGCACTGATTGTTTTAAATATAACTTTGAACTGCATGAGTAACCACTGTACATTAATTAAAATTTGTCTGTTTGCTGTCGACATAAAGATCTTAACACAATGGCTGATAGCATCACATGTACCATATATGGTAGGTTGTCTCACATGAGGTAGTGGTATTTTAGGTATTTTATTTATTTGCCACACGATTACAATAATTACAAAAAGATGCCAAAAAAAAAAATGTAGGAAGAGATGGCGAGGAGGCCTAAAAGAAACTAAAGAGCTTATGTTAATTAGGCCTCCTCAATTACAATTTTTTGAAGATGGCATAAAAATTACGGCGACGGATACAATATAATATGAGGTGAAAATGAGGTGAGAGTGAGTCATATTATGCTAATGTAGATAAAATGATGATTTAATTTGCCCAGTTTCAGTGATTTGATTGTACTTACATGTGCAATGTATACGTATATACTACTGTGAGAACTGTCTAATATTTGAAGGAAAAAAAACAAAACTTACCTTTTTTTTTTCAATTTTGTTCTTGAGCGATGAAAATATTGCCACAATCAGCTGAGTCATTCAAGCAGTCAGTGTATAAGGCAGGACTATTGTTTGCACATGCAAATGAGTACGTGACAACAATACTACCATTGTTTTCTAACCTTAAAAACAATAGTCCACAGTCAGTCCTCAGTCTGCATTTTACACTGCCTTGTTATTCAAGTGACCATTTAGCGAAAAGGCTCTTGATTAATGCTTTAGCCCCATACGCAGTTTATTCAAATCTTTGTTATTTACCGAAAGGGGAACAAAGCAAGTTTTTTTTTCACTTGTGATTTCTATGCATTTAAGGACTCTTTCAGGATGAGGACGTTGAATAATTATGATCCTTTTGGAATCTGTCACAATACCGATCTTTATTATTAAGTAAGAAACATTTGGCAGGTATATTTAATTGTAAGTGCGTGTTTGTTTGTACATAACTGTGCACGAAAAATTATCTGAAAAGAATTTGACTTAAATCTGTATGGTATCCTCAGATGCTATTGTAAAGACAGCTATACTAGGCTATCCATGCAGTGAACAAGTACCTTGGGAGAGAGATGCTGTACAAGGTGATTAAGCTTTTGATACATTTTGTACATCTGAGAACTGTGTGAAAGCTAATTAACCATTGAGTTATGGATTAAAGCTATTGAGTCCGATCTGGGCTGGTACTTGTATAAGCACTGACAGACGATAACACTTTGGGTCAAGCACTGTGGAGGCTTCTTTTGGCCAACTGTTATAATTTTTGGCTCATTATTATTTAGAGGAAATTGAATGGCTCAATCTCATGAAGACACCCTTGATGGCAATTTAATAGTTTTTTTGACACTCAAATGGCTGTCCATCTAAGAGCGGTCCAGCGAGTTTGGGATCGTGAGTTAACGATCCCTTTATTTTTTGAGTGAAAAGGGCTTAACGAGGAATGATTAAAATCGAACTATTTTTTGCAAAACCTTTTTCTGTGCTTCAGTACAGCACGAAACTTTTTCCTGTCTGAGAGTGCTTTTTCTGGCTTAACCGATGGCCAAAATTTGGTAATTTTCAAAGCTACGGTTCTTTGTAAAGGATAAATATCGATAAATTGTACATAGTACACTGGATTTAGCTGCATTTGACTAGTGCTGTGACAGAATATGGAATAATTTGAAGCAAAATTAAATTAAATTGATAAGATCAAAGACAACCCACTTTGGGTTTTTTTCTCCCCGGACAAATTCTTCCAAAGTAAAAGCTAAAATCTCATGAAGGCCTCTCAAAATTCAGTGTGAAAACACTGTAAGCCATCTGCGAATATTTTGAACTGTCGTTCAAATTTAAAGATATACAAAGGCTGCTCTAATAAAATATAATCACAGATATGGTGAAAGAATGCAGTTGCTGCTGCACCACCCCGTAAATGGCTAGGGTCTGGCAAATTGCCCCATTGCATTGGGGAGGGCCCAGTTGCCAACAAATCAGGTCCTATTGTTTCAAGGTCACGTTCATGGAGGTGTTTTCTCAGGATTTTCGTATACAGTTTGCGTGTTACATTGCTATGGTATATTACAATAACTCGCAAGTAACTTATAACTTGACATCTACCCTTGAAAGTATGTGACCTGCTTGTTCGTTTAATACTTTATTAACAATACTAGTAAAAGAGCAGGCCCCAGTTGTTAAAAAAGTTGGGTAGGTAGGGCTATCCACCGGATAAACTTCTATCCAGTGGATAAGTATTAGGGAAACCAGTTGCTCTATCCGCTGGTTAGAGATTTATATCGTTGATGGCGCTATCCACCTTTTGAACAACTGGGGCCAGAAGGATTAAAAGTTGTCCATGGGACAGTTATTTTTTTCTTGAAAATATTTGTTTCTTATAATCTGATAAATTCCCTACGATTTTCTGAAGTTTAATTTTTCCTATTTCACACCCCAGGTTAAGCTATTTTTCGTAGAGAAAAGAAACATAAAATTATCTGAACCGAAAATGTGATACAGAAAGGAATCAGAATAATTCTCACTTTCTCACTTTCTCTGTTTGAATGGAGTGCCACAAAGAATTTTGCCTTTATATTTGGCACCTTCACAGTCCATTACAGAGTCATTAAGACTCCACACTGGTCTCTATCTTAAGATACAGGCCAACCAAAGAGACAGCGAAAATTTTAAGGTGGGCATAGAAGGGCTTATCTTAAATATTATAGATTTATTGTATCGTGTAAAGGAGTGAGAAGGGTACCAGCTTTGTGTGTAGGTTTTGGCTTCTTCACAGAACATTTAGATCCATGTCTCTAAACTAATGAAATAGACATAGGGGCTTCAAATAAAATCTAAATACGCTGCAAAAGAGGGCAAACGGAAAACGATAAGAAAAGGAAATTCCAGATGTTTTTTCTTCTTTTCCCATAACCATATACTCTGAAAACAGAACTTCCTGTTGTTTCTTTCTCATAGTAAGTTCAAAAAAGCAGTTGCTGGAATTGTATGCAATGTGAAAAGGGTCATACAATGCACCTGAATGGAACAGCTACTAGACGTTAATGAGAAGAGGTAATAAATTAATTGTTTTCGGGAACTCAATTTGAGAATTGTTCTGTTTCAAAAGTGAAAACAAGAAAACCCAATCCATGATTGTGACTTCCCTGTCCACTAGTAGTCTTTCTTTTTCCTGCTCACTTTGTTTATATGCCAAGATTGATTGCCTATTTGAGGCTGATGAGTTGTTATTTGAACTTGTGAACTTACTTGCATGACTTGGTACATTCAACGAGAACTTAATAACTTCTTTATACATCTTTTATCGACAGAGAACTGATATCAGAATGTAATGACGTTTTAAGCCAGTGCCATATACATGTGGCACTCAAAGGTTCACAATTCGACAATGAAGGTACTGTGAGATACTTGTATTTACGCTTCTGCAACAATTCCAGACTTTCAATATCACTTTGGGCCTGCAATTAGCTGCTGTTTTGTAACAAGGCACTGGATTTGTTTGAAGTAAATGGTAATAAACTTTGCCTATGGTGAATGATCATATTAAAAAACATAACATTTTTCACTTTACTGTTGGTAGAACGAATAGAAAGAGAGAAAAACAAACCTTTAATGTTAATTGAGCTTGTGCTGTACAAGATTTTCTATTATACTTCTTCTGGGTGTTTTCAGGCTGCCAGTCTCTGCCAAACATTTGTACCCTTCTTTATTCATTTGCTTGTACTTTTACTTTCAGTATGTAGAAGTAATGCGCGGCAGAGAGAGAGAATAGGGCAGATGTGGAGGTCCGGGTGTACCAGCCCACAATGTCATCGGTCAACATTGTGGTTGGGGACATCATTTCTGGTAAGTGTGTCAACTTGGTGTAAGGGACAGATGAAAACACTAAATCGGACTAAATTAACCTTTGACATATTTGTGAGCAAGATCCAAAAGGAAGCCCACGATTTGTTATTGAAATTATTTCTTCTTCTTATTGCTACTAATGTTCTCGTTAATAGCGGAGCTCCAAAGCTAAGGAAATCTACCCATCCCAGAAAATTTGGTAATCATGTGACCGTACACAGCCCGTCCGTCTGCACCACAGGTAACCAATGTTTAATCTCATACTTTCTAGCTAGTTTGGGAGCACAGGAAAACTGATAATACACCCATTTTGGACATCAATGTTGTGATCAATTGACAGCTTTCAAAACAGGGTATCTGCTGACCAGTATCACTTGACCGTATTGCAGGCTCAGGTGTTGACCCATCGAGGTCAAGTATTTTTTGGGAGTTGTCTGCTAACAAGTTACTAGTTTTCAAATGATCGCAGGCTCAAGTTTTTTAATTCATATGAAATATGTTGTGTTTATGTGCCACACAATGAAAATTTTGATTTCAAACTGACCTGAGATGCGAAAATTCAGACAGCTATGCAGGAAGACCGTATGCCCACACCACAAGAGAACCAATGTTTACTTACACACATTCTAACCACTTTGGGAGCCCAGGAGAAAACTGATTGCTCATCAATGTTGGGATCAATCATGGATTTCATGGATAATATCCATGGATCAATTGACAGCTGTCAAAACAAGGTATCCGCTGACCAGTATCACCTGACCGTATCACGGGCTCAGGTGTCAACCCATCGAGGTGAAGTACTTTTTTGAAGTTATCCACTGACAAGTTACTAGTTTTCAAATGATTGCAGGCTCAAGTTTATTTTTTTTAAAATTCATATGAAATATGTTGTGTTTATGTCACTATGGCCCTGTACTATTAAGATTTTGATTTCTAACTAACCTTGGATGCGAATATTCAGGAGGTCATTTAGAAATACCGGCGGGGAAGATCTTTCCTTGCCAAGGTCACGCATTGGTCACACTCTATGTCCAATTTTTATGTGACAGGTGACTTCATGTGGAAAATTTATGCAGCATCTTGTATCTTGTTTACTTTGACAGCTGAAGCTGACAGAGTTTTGTGTCAACTTGTGATGTTTTTAACTGTCTTTTTCCACTGGATGTACAAAAATGAAATACAGCTGCTATCAAGAGTCACTTGTCAAAGTCGGAAATCCGATTTCGGATGGCATTGTTTTCGTTTTTCACCTTGCTTGAAGAGCCTGAAGCAATACTGCCATCTCCGGTAAGACAACACACGATGCTACCACTGAGCTAATACTATCCTTGCTTGTCGTACCTTCGAGCAGTCAAACTGGTATCAAAGTTATACATATGGATTTCAGTGACCCCCAAGGAGGTAAGGGAGTGGAGGACAGGTTGGCGGCCACTTGCAAAAACCACATCTGAACGTACATCAACGCGGGCAACAATGTCACAACAACAGCAGAGATGAAAGAGGCCTTGTTATCCTACAAAGGGGTGGAAGGTTTCTAAGTTGCTATCCTGCTTTCAATAGAAGAAACTGTGGAGCTTCAAAAGATGTCTGGAATAAGCAAGATAAATAACTTTCTGTTCACGGAGGACTCCCTTCAAGCTTGGCGTACTTATGCAATTGGTCGTGGAAAGACCATAGCCTCGGAAAAGGTTCCAGGTCAGTGTCATTTCTGGGAAGTTAAAAATAAAAAGGGAGAATGTCCTTAACTGGTGGGGATAGCAGACTTCCGTTGCTACTCCCATATGTAGGTATGGTAGAAGCTATTGTCACAGTATTTTGTAAAACGCAGCACATGAAACAATGGAGACGTAAAAGAAATATTTTTCCCTTTAATATCATTTTCTTGAAAATTTTGGTAACCTCACTGGGATAAGGTTTTTGCTACTACACCACACAGAAAATAAATATTTTTTCCAATCACTCATTTCAGTAACTCTGCTGTAACGTATGCTTCATATTCCTACTCTTTTGACAGATGTGACCTATAGCTGGTTTACTGTTTCTTTTTTCGGCTGGTGGGTTTAAACCAATTACTCTAAAATCGGCTTCAACGCATGCTAGACCCCAGGCAGCCCCTGAAGTTCTCAAAGTTCAGCAAAGTAGCCCTGAAAGGCATCTGTTCAGTGCTTTTTCGGGCCCTAAGGAAGGTCGTGTGAAAGTTTTTCAAAGAGTATCTGCCCTAGAACGTCACTTGTCCTTAGAGGCCTTTACCCTGTCTCCAGAAAGGCACACCCTGATGGATTTGGCCAAACATCAATACACCACCTGCCTGCAGGAGAGCGTAGGGCTTATTCCTGCACTGCGAGCAGTACTAAGCTCAGTTGGCAGTTCACATCAAGGTGAGGAGGTCAAGGAAGGGTGGGTGCTGAAACAAGTGAAGAAACCATACCGTTTTAACCAAAAGCGGAAAACCTACTTGGAGGAAAAGTTCAATATCGGCCAGTCCACCAGCATTAAGATTGACCCTGCCTTTGTAGCAAAGGAAATGCGCTGTTCCAGGTGCAAAGATGGGGAAAGGTTATTTGTTGTTTCTGAATTCCTGACACTACAGCAAGTGTCCTCCTTTTTCTCGCGACTGGCACTAAAAGTGTGCCAGCAACAGGTTGAGGTCTCGCAAGAAGACACCTTAGCTGTAGAGGAGCAAAGAAATTTTGCTACTGCAAACGAAAACGTGCTTTCTTCCCTGCAGCTCCGTCATCCCATTGTTGTTGACCAGTACAACGTATGCTCTCTGGTCAATAAATCTGAGTTTCGGAAAACTAAGGTGGCACTGCTCCATCTTTGCGAATGCTTAGAGGTGAATACACCTGTACCAGCAGTGAGGAGGAAGGTGCCATTCGTGGAACTTTTAGGAGAACTTGTAAATAGCTGCCCTTGTAACCCCCGAAAGTGAACAAATTAGCCTACTCCTAGTGACTGGGGCTATACTGATTTTCTCATGTAACTCAAGTTAAGTTTGTATTTGTTCGTGAGTCGTGGTTGTCAACCCTTGGATGTACATGCAAATTCATACCCCCACTGTGGTACAATGGGGGGGGTGGGTAGAACCCCTCCACGGAGTTTTTGATATGTTGCAGTATTTTGAAACGAGTTTACCTTAAGTGGAAAGCCTCTTCTTAACAAGATGAGGTATATTTCATGGGTAATGGCACTGCTGGAGGCCTGTGAGGTCACCAACAATGGTTGCCATCTTGGATTTTACCAAGAATTAGAAATCAGGATAAAACTGCAAGAAATGGTAATTTTTTGTGCTTTACATGGAAGATGACACATAAATAAGCGCTTTGCAGGATTCTTGCCAGAATATTTAATTTTATTGTTGAAAGCTGAAAAAACATGTATTTTCACCCAAAATTGGCTTGACCACCTGCTACTTATTATGTCATATTCCGTAACCATAGCAGCCGACCATCATCAAACTTGCCTCAAAATCTGCGTGACGGATGAACGAACAGCTTCTGAAAACATCAGATGCCGATGTTTTATCCTTTTGGAAAAAA